GTACGACAAGGCCTGGTTTGCTGTGAGCGAGACTCTGCTGGCCATGACCATCTTTAGGGATGACCTCGGCATGTGGTTCTTCGCAATGTTCCTCTGCTTGCTGGCAGGCAAGGTCTGGCAGTGGATCGGAGAGGGGAGAGTCGAATTCCTCGAGCAACAGCCTCCCGCAAACCCAAAGCTCTTCCACACGCGCCTCATGAGCTCCCTGCTATTATCCGTTGCCTTCGATATCTTCATGATGCAGTACTGCATCGATTCGATCCTGTCGGAGGCACGGCCGGGTGTCATGGTCATGTTTGGCTTCGAATACGTCCTCCTAGCCACCGCATCGATATCGACCCTACTACGATACGCACTCTCGCTCGTCGAACTATACATTACACACCGCCAAGAGAAAGTACGAGAGGAGGCTCGTCGTATCGCAAGGGAACAAGCACGCCTGCAGGCTACAGCAGAAGGGACTGAAGCGCCTGCTGAGGCAGACGACGATGAAGACGAGGGCGACGTGCCTGGATGGGAAGAGAAGGGTCGCTGGGTATTCTACTTGGATCTCGCGACCGACTTTGTCAAGTCCTTCGTCTACCTGGGCTTCTTCGTCATTTTGATGACTTTCTACGGCATACCAATCCACATCATGAGAGACTTGTTCATGACCATCCGATCTCTCCTCAAGCGTATCCACGACTTCATCCAGTACCGAAACGCGACCCGCGACATGAACACACGCTATCCAGATGCGACGGCAGAAGAACTCGAACGGGAGAACACATGTATCGTCTGTCGCGAAGAGATGCGGCCGTGGACACAACCAGGCGCAGATGGTGCACAGCCAGGTCGAAGAATGGACGAGCGACAACGGCCGAAGAAGCTCCCCTGCGGCCACATCCTACATTTCGGATGTCTCCGTAGTTGGCTTGAGCGACAGCAGGTCTGTCCCACGTGCCGAAGGCCAGTACTCTCATCGGCGACGACACAAACTACGCAACGCAACAACCAAGCCAACCCGGGCGAGCAAAACCTCCAGAACCGAGAGGCACTGCGAGCAATGTTTGGAGGGAATGCGCAGCAAGGTGCTGTCGGAGGGCAACAAGGACAAGGCCAGGGCCAGGGTCAGCAGGCTGCACCGCAAGGTGCACAAGCAAATCCTCCAGCAGGTAACATGCGCGTGTTCAACTTCGGGCCATTTCGGATCGCTCTCGGGAACATTCGCGTACCACCAGGACAACAGGACAATGTCGCTGTGCAGAACGCGATTCAGCGACTGCGCGAGCAAGCCAACGGAAACAACGCGGCGCAGAATCAAGATCATCAAAACCAAGCACAGGGCCACACGGGCTTCACGCCATGGGCTACTCCCAACCTTCCCACCGGCCCCATCCCCGGAGCGGTCGCGCTGCATCCGTCAGATATTCAGTCCGACATATTGCGCATACAACAGAACATCATTGAGTCGATGCGGCATCTCAACGCACAACACGAGCAACTTGAGGTTGTCCATAGACTTCTTGCTGAGCTCAACAGACTTCAGCAGGCTTCAGGCGTGGCTGCCGCGACAGGCCAAGAGCCACCACCTATTGCCCCATTGAACCCACCTAACATGAACTCGTTCGTACCGCAAGCCTACTTCGCCAGAGGGTCCGTTCTGCGACAGGGCGATCCCGGTGTACCTGAGGGCTTGACGCTACCGGAAGGGTGGACATTGAGGCCGATGGCCCTAGCGCCACGGAATAGCCAAGAAAGCGCGACACGTCCATCCTCGCAACCTGGACATCCGGCGCCAGAGAGTGGCTCGATACCGCCTCAACTTCAGACAACACCGCCAGTAGCGGAACCTGACGCAGGGCCTTCGACGTCCGCTCCCGCGGCCTCACAAAACCAGCCAGCTTCGTCGACTCCAAACCCGACTACATCCGATGAGCCCTCCAATCGTTCGCCGAAGCCTGCAGAGCCTAGCTCTCTCGAGTCAAGCTGGAGCTTTGGTAACGTAGGAGAGAGGACTGAGGCCGAAGGCTCAAGCTCTGCGGTCGCTGGAAGCAGCTCTGAGGGCCAGACTGCAACAAGGCGGACTGTTACTGTTGAAGATGTCGAAGACGGTGAGCAGTAGCTGGACGATGGGCGATGACACTGTTACGGTTCTGTATTGCATAGCGAGGCGTTCGGGTTTGTTGATTATTCTTGAGCGACAGGGAGTCGCATGTGTCAATGGAGCACGACAGGGAATCCCTGCGAATGCCAATTCATCACACCGGTCGGTGCTCCACCGCGTTTCTCGAGTGTGTATTTGATTGTATCACCATCATTGAACAAAATAATGAAGCATGCCGTGTTAACCATTCATCTTGTATGCACCCCGCACGCACATGCTCTTCAACTCGCAGGAATCCAGCCCCCGAGACGACACTGGACGATGGTTTGATGCACATTCGAATGCACATGTACATGCACGCACTCGGCCCTCCACTACCAGACCCACAAAGCTTATCGATGCCGGCCTAGCCTGCCCCATCCCGTCTTCGCTTGCCGCTAGCGCGAAACACGTGTCCAGTCAAACCTCGACTGCCTCCCAAGACACCATATCGAGGCGGCTACGTGCAGGTCGTGAACAGCACCAGGTTGAAACGGCGGCCTAGGCGGTGCGAGGACGGTGGGTAGCACCCAGTAACAGCTGCAGGAACGCAAGCCCTGCGACACACTTGCAAGCCTTCGAGGGCGTGTGCAGACCAGGGTCGGGCTGCCAACGGAATAAGTGTAAGGGCCCCCGTCTTGGGCGAGCGTGTTAACGGCGACTTGACTCGACTTAACACGACTTGAGGTTAACGTTGTGATTTGGCTTTTTGGATGACTCTTCATTCACTCTCGCTAATGGATGCTTAGACCGCACTTTGTTTATTGCAATTTTGTATACCTATCGTCCTTTTCTCTTCCCTTCTCTTCAGTTCCATTTTGCTTTGCATCTTTTCCTTGTTCGTTGTCTTGCGTTTTAGCGATGGCGGTCAAGTTAGACCATGCGCATGTTGCGCGTAGGCCTGAAGAGGCCGAGGTATCTACATGCGTCTCAGGCATCATAGAAGCTTTTCAAAATGGACTGGATATTTTCAAAAGCTTGCGCGAAAGAAGAAGAAAGCGCAGATCAAAGAGAGATACCGACACGCCTGATTCAACAAGTACTGCCGAGCACCAACTCTCTAAAAGCTTGCGCAGAGGGCCAGAGGAGGTAGCCGGGAAGTATACTGAATGCTACTACAGCGGCATCGGGCCGCGATTCGCAAAGGGCGATGGTAAGTATAAAGTCCACCTAACACATAAGCCGTACTAACGTAATGCAGCTATCGCGCACCAGTCACTCGCAGAGACATTGATCAAATTAAACACGGGCCTCGTTGCCATCATCGCAGCGTTCCTGAACCATGACGCGCAAAAAAGCGGAAAGGGTCACCTAGACATAGACTACAAGTCGTTGACCCACCTGTCCGACGCATCGCGGCGTGAAGCAATACAAAGCCTTACCCAGTTATATCAGCGACTAAGCCAATCTCAACTCCAGCTGCATAACATTGGCGCTCCACCGTGCCCGCGATGTGGCACAAGCAAACACCACGACTGCTCCTCTCGCAGCACTAGCCCTGAGAAGGAGAAGAAGAAGTCGAGCTCCACTCGTCAACGTTCCTCGGGTCATGTAGTCACACGCATGCCCATGAAGAACCGAAGCTCGAATGAACCCCGGCTCGTCGTCATGCGACCTAAGACCACCCGCAAGGGCAGCTCGTCGAGTAAGGAATCTTCTTCAGTGAAATCGCCGTCAAGTTCATCTCGCAGCTCTTCACCGCTGGCATCCCCTCAGCCAAAGAAGATCCAGATGGCTCCACAGCTACCCTTGTACGTACCTGTCGACCCATTCGAGCTTGAGACATCTGGTGTCATCAGAGGCACTCTAGGTGGCGCAGCACCAAAGGCCAGTAGTGGTGGTGTCAAAAAGCGCGTTGATTCCTTCGACGACCCGCGCGAACCATGGCCTCAAGAGAACGCCCACACAACTACCAAATCGCCCTCCCCAAAGCACCATAACGAGCCCACCCCCAAGCTCCCCACCTTTACCCCTACATCCCGCCGCTCACCATCTCCTGCTCACTCCAAACCTGCAGTCTCTTCCAAGCCTCCCCCAGTCCCGGAGAAACCCTCCTACCTATCCCCTCCACCACTCCTCGACCAGGCTCCAGCAACCCTTCACTTCCGCCGCCGCCTGGACAAAGCCACACCATCGAGCTATACGTTTGCTTCCGGCAGCACGAGACTGGGAGAGATACCCGAGAGACGCTGGAACATGCCCTTTGATTACCAGGAAGCCGAACGCCTCAACACTGAGGCTGCTTTGAATGGATACCCCAATGCGCCCACGGCAGATGCCAAGGACGCGAAGAAAAAGAAGCGTTTTGGCTTCATGCGACGAGGTGATTAGAGAATCATCTCGTCAATGTTTGTTCTATTTTTGTACAACTGTTTGTTCCTCCCTTTTCATGTTTTGTTTACTGCGGGTTTGCTATTCCCTCTTGCTTACTGGTGTTGGCGTTCCTGCTGGTTGACTTTTCTCTCTACTCTGTTGTGTTCATGGCGTTGGTCGGCATCTCTTTTCCTCTCTCTCTCTCCACTCTTGGCATCCGGCCCTGGGGGCCCGGTAATCACGGCTACGATTACGATTCTTTACGCTTTAACGACTTTGACGAGGATATACCCCTTTCTTTATTGGTTATACCCTTTTCTTTATTTGGTTGTTAACGGCGGCATCTATATACCCATATCTTGTTTTTGTTAGCGATGTCTGCATATAGCAGATGCTTTTTGGATTACTTGGTAGTATGATTAATTTGGATATGGTTTTCGGCTTCTACAATTGAATTTTGTTTGGATTGACTATGATGTACGACTTCTGATGGTGATGCTGAAGTAAAGTTCGATCTTCAAGAGGGCGTTTGTGGTTTCATTCACTATATCGCCACCCTCCTCTACCCCTGCCTCTGCCCCTGCCCCTACTAGACGCTACGTGTACTGGCGGAGGTTTTTCCCGCACGAGTCCGTCCTCTCCGAAAATCCAGCTATGTGCGTCGTTCACGATGTCTACCATAGTCTTACCCTCAGTATTCCTTGCGGTTCTCTCCGCACCTTTCTCTAACAGCAGATTGCATACTGCAGGACTAAATCCCACTGGGCGGTTAATTTCTGAAACGGACACGAGCAATGGGGTTTCCCCCTCCTGATTCAGTGCGTTCAGTTCAACACCGTGTTCAAGGAGTACATCGATGATTGATGTAATCCTGACTTCATCTCCTGGTTCGATGGATTTACTTGCGCAGTGTAAGGTGTTTATGCCAGACGTTGTTTTGGCGCACGCATCGGCGCCAGAGTCGATCAGATAGCGGACAAGCTTCTCGTTGCCGAATTGAGCGGCGCCATGCAGCGCTGTCGAGCCATCTGCAGCAGTGGTGTGCAGATATTCACCATGGTTATGAAGCAGTTGTACTAGCTGTAAGCGCTCTTCATTACTGTTGGAATAGTGAGAGAAGAATTCGACTGCGAAGCGAAGCGGTGTCCACCCAATCTCGGTACGATCAGTCTTTCCCGAAGTGACATCATGAACATTCGCGCCGTTATCAAGTAGCAACTTTACTATTGATATGTTGCCATACTCGCATGCTGTGTGAAGTGGTGTCTCTCCTTGAAGCGCCCGAGCAGAAACATCCGCGCCGTTCGCGATGAGAACTTTTGCGAATGAGGCATTTGCTACCAAATGCAATGGAGTGTAGCCGTCCTCGTCCGTACCGGATACGCTTGCTCCCGCCTTGATGAGATCCTCAACAAGACTCGGGTCATCGTCCGCGTCTCGAATGATGCCGCAAAGCGGCGAAGTCTCATCAGGCGCAACGTGATCGACGCGCAGGCCGTTGGCCAGAAGAAATCGTACAACATCTCGCGGCACGTGCGACATGTGCAGGCAAGCCCAAAAAGCTGTAGAGTGTCGACCTTGATCGTCACGCGTATTGACATCAGCACCAGCTTTGACAAGACTATCCATGATGCTAGAAACGCTTTTGTCCAGAGGGCAGCATAAGACTGGTGGTCGGCATCGGTCGTCACAGTCGTAGTCGTAAAGGGCGCAAATGAGGGCTTTTCCTAGGGCTGTCCCATTTCCATTGAGGCGTACGGGATCTGAAAACCTTGCCTGGTAGTAGTGGAGAAGTAGCTCAAAAGCCTCCACATGCCAACACAAGGCCGCTCTTTCTATGGCTAGCCGTACAGCCTCTAGCCTGGACATATCAGAGAAGTCGCGAGTTCCCTGCTTCTCTAGAATCAAGGCAAGGCAGTCCACGTGATTCTTGGATGCGGCGAAAAATAGCGCGGATGGCGATATACTGACATCGTGGTCGAGGAGCGCGGCTAATGCATTTGATTGTCCCAGCCAAGCTGCAAGGTCAAGTGCAGACAGCGAAACTTGGTAGGCTGGCTCGATGTCGTCTTTGAGTGTAGGATCTGCACCAGCTTCCAAGAGAAGCTGTACAACCGATCCGTGATCGGCGCGTATAGCGAGGTGTAAAGGGGTACAATCGTTCCCGTTACGAGCGTCGATGTTCGTGGTGGCGGTTGTGTTGTTCTCTAGTATAGATGTGACCAGAGCAACATGGCCTTTGTAAGCCGCCGTGTGGATTTCGCAATCGCTATCGTGAAGTGGATATTGCTCCATCCACTTCCGGTTCTCCTCAAGTATAAGGGCATATACTTCGGCATCTTCGTTCGGCATGCTGACTGATGACGAAGAGGTACGTGATGGAAGGAAGCAAGGTGAGATGTCGTATCCGAAGATAAATCCATGAGAGGAAGTCATATATCAAGAATCCATAAATAAACAGTTTGTCGCCCTTTGTCGCAAAAGGGCGCGAACATCTCGAATTCTGCATCTTTCAGGGCGTTCCATTGCGCAAATGGTTAGTGAAGGATTTCGGTAGATTACGTAGCGGAACCCATGGCCTGAGCGCGGTCGTTGCATGTCCTTCCATCAGGACAATTCGCACATCTGCAGATGGATTTGTGCCGTGGTTCTTTCCATGCTGAAGGTTCCTTCGTCATCTGAGTGCGTGCGTTGTGGCTCGTGCGGGGCTCTGACTCGGGGTGTCTCACAGTCTCGCGGCAACAACCTCACTGCAACTCATCACTTTATCCAACCGAGCACTCACGTCACTGGCTCTGAACATACCACCAACCTCTTGGGACTTCTCACAAGCAGGTACTGTGCAACAATGTGTTGGTGTCGCGTCAACTGATACCAGCGCCTTACGCCCTTGGTTCCGGCTGGTGGGTTCTGTACGAGATTGCGAACTTTCTCGCGACGAACATCAAGGCCGGATACATGATGAAGCACTTCATTTCAGAGCGCATGCGATCTTTGTCGCCCATATTCGCGATCCGATGGCTGCAAGGTACCCTCATGTACCCGTTCATGCACGTGAAAAGCCGCAGGAAACTGCGTTTCAGATCTCCTAAGCCCCTTCAGGTCTGTATTGTGTTGACCCGACACGAACATCCCCTGCGACAGAGTTGAAAACTAGATCTCGCTTGCAGTCTGCATTCAGGGCGAATATGCGCGTTTCATCCATGGCAACGGCCAATGTATCCTCCACTCACACACATGCCTCGGATATCTCTTCAATGCTTCGAAAGGTCAACCGGCTGCTACGAAGTGATGGCCCATCCAACACCAACAACAAAAGGTAATCAGCACTGCTGACGACGAATCAAGAATAGTTCTGCTTTGTCGTAATCGGTTCTATCGAGTTAGTGAGCGCAAAGCTATGCGTTCGTCCAACGTCATACCAACGACAGGCCCATAAGCTTATTTACATATACCCCAGAAACTCGGAAGAAAACCCATCTGCCAACTTGGGATTGCAGGTACCAACATGCGACCTGTCACAATGCATCAGCCTATGTGGCCTTCCCAAACACGTCTGATATCCCCATTATCCATTATGGCGCGTTCCCCAGAGCTATCTCAATGGTTCAGATCTCCTCGACCAAGGTACATGCCTCGAGGTTAGCACAGACACGCTAGGTGCTTCTGCATCTCTGATACACTGGCCAGCCAGATCCCATGAACACATACCGCGCCGCAAAGATGACTTGTGGCGATAGTATTTGATGCTTGCCCCACCCACAGGATATGCGCTCGGTCGGCTCGTGGCCGTTCTTTCTACTTTCAGATTGCCGAATACGTGACTCTGGTAGTCATTTTGGCAGCTGAAGGTTCTCTAGTTTTGTTATGAGTCTATCGCAATATACCTCGCCAGAGTTTCTGGCCGAGGATCGAGGCCCAACTATCAAAGCGACAGCCTGCCTGCTGATCTTTTTCTGCACATCTTTTGTTGCCTTACGTTACTACTCACGCTATCTCACGAGTACCGCGTTGAACATCGAAGATGTTCTCGTTCCTTTTGCATGGCTAGCTGAGGTGGGCCTTTGCATTGTTGGTATCGGTAAGCATGCAACGCCTTGAAGACTGCTTGCGCCAGCTAACATATCAATCAGTCATGGTCGAAAAAGCCAGCACTGGACGACATATGGCCTACATTGCGTCCACAGATCCGGCAAAGATATCCGAGCACTTCAAAGGCATTATGATACAAGAGGTCCTGCATCCAGCAGCTGTCGCATTCCCAAAGCTCACCGTTGTACTGCTCTACTTGCATATCCTTACCAACAAGTACGAGCGCCTGGCTGCTAAGACGCTACTCGTTCTCATTCTTTCTACGTGGATCTCTTTTACCGTAGCTGTCGGGTTCCAGTGCATGCCTTTCAGGTTCAATTGGGACAAGAACATTCCGAACGGAAGATGCTTCAACGTTCAAGTCTTCGCGAACAGCTCTAGCGTGCCTAACATCGCAACCGATTTGGCCGTCTTGATACTACCTCTAAGAACAGTGTGGTGTCTGAAGATCAGTGTTGGAAGAAGAATTGGGCTGTTACTCATTTTCCTGACCGGAAGCGTGTAAGTTGCCAGTTGTACTTCCCAGGCCTTATTCGTAGCTGACCGATATATAGTGGTATCGTCGCATCCATAATCCGCACCGTCGTATTCGCCCAGACCCTCGCAGAAGCCGGTCCTCTTACAGATGTAACATGGAACCATGTTGCGCTCATAAACTGGACAATGATAGAGCCCGGCATGTATCTTCTCAGCGCTTGTGCCCTCTCATTCAAACCTCTTCTTCGGATGTTTGCCAAGGCCCTCCATCTTCAGGGCTTTGTTACACATACAAAGTCTACTGTCGGTGTGACTAGAAGTCATGTCAAAAGAACATTCACATCGACCCACACGCAGCCTGAAGTCTTCGAGCTCGGGAACGTCTCCGAGTTTGGCAAGTTTCACCGATTGAGCGACGATAATGCGAGCAGTAGTACTGGTGGGATTGACGAGGGAAGGATCGAAATGACCGCACCGAAGACCGTTGAACTGAATACAGAGAGAAGACTCGACGATGAGCGTTGGGACCGCAGTGATGTCGCGAGCGACCACTTCGGGAGGGCGGTCTGATGTGTTAGCCAGATCCTCTTTCTACGACTAGATGTTTAGATGAATGAATGTACTTTACATATCCTACTCATCAAGATGAAGCGACATCTTCGATGTGTGAGCCTTCACGTCAACCTATGAAAAAAACTAAACAGGCCTGCAGCCTACATCAACATGAAAACGTGCAAAGTAAGTAGCCTAACGTCGATGTAGGCTCTAGATCTGTTCATTCTTTTTCTTGTATAGAGTGCCTTTGTTCCGGACATGCGTAGTGGCTGCAGTACGGAACAGGACCGCTACCGATGCTGAGACCCACCCACCCTTTCGTACCTGGCACGGAACAAACACCATCGGCAAGACGGCATCTTCTCACATGGAATGCGTGTATGCGAGTGCCTCTCGGACTCTGTGCACACCGGCCCCGAAGGCAGCTACCGGGAGAGATCGATCGGGCGCGTCTTAGCGTGCCGCGCACCTAACGCGAATTAACAACATCGTCATGCATATGTCTAGAATGCCTCCACCTCCACCCAGTGTGCCACCAGCCCACCGAACGCGCTCCATCACGACGTCATGCTGCTTATGAGGCGCCCCTCGACCAGCCACATGGGCTCGCGTCGGCGTGGAATATCCGCTGTTACTTGACCCTCTGATCTCACCGTTACGTCCACGTACATATCACGAGCAGCCTATACCAAGATGTCTGCTGGTCCTCGACTACTTGTACGCTCCGCACGAACAGCTCTACCCAGAATTCAACTTGCAACTCGCATTTCGACACCCATTAAAACAACTACTCCTCGATACTTCTCCACTACACACATCTCCAGAATGCCGGACCAACTCAAGGCTAGCGAGGTCAACTCCAAGACCGACCCCTCTGTCGCGAAGCAGTACGACGATGAGACTCCCAAGGACCAGCAGATCAAGCAGTTCTTTGAGATGGTAGACGGCAAGAAGATTTGCATGCTCAACACATACCGCAATGGTGTTGGTATGTTTACCCCTACATCCCTCCACTTTCAAGCTCCATGCCCTCAGTTCCATCCCACGTAGCTCTAGACTAACCATTGTCAGGCCCCGTCGGTCGCTCCATGGCCCTCGCCCGCCGCGACGGTCCCGACTTCCTCTTCCTCGCCAACAACCACTCGCAAAAGTTCAACGACTTGAACCAAAACAAAGAAGTCCAGATCTCGTTCCAGGACCTGAAGACACAAGAGTGGGCCTCCATCACAGGAACTGCCACAACAACAGACAACAGCGACCCCCGCATCAAGGAGGTATGGAGCCGTGGCGCTGCAGCATGGTTCGGTGATCTCGGTGATGGCAAGCACACTGGTGGCCCCGAAGACCCCCGCATGACTCTGATTGAGATCAAGAGCAAGTACGTCTCGTACTACGTCACAGATGTCGGCCTCTTGGGTTACGCAAAGGAGATCATCAGCGCGAACGTCACAGGTGGCGTTGCCAACACCGGCAAGCTGAGGGAACTCAAGGAGGCGGATTTGGAGAAGGCCAGGTCGATGTAAGTGCACATAAGCACTGTTAATGTAATGGGAATATGTTGAGATCTTGGTAGATCTCCATCGAAGCTATGAAGGCTTGCAGATTTACAATAATAACCATATTCAATGACACATGCGCGATGCAATGTACTTCGAAAATGTATGTGTAAAAAGCGTGATGTGCAAAGCAGAACATACATTGAAAAGCCTGGAAGCAATCACCGTCCATACATGCATGTGCGCTTGACGGAATGTGTCAACGAGCTTCCGAAGGTGGATAGCTGCGATTGGAGGCTACCCCACTTTCGTCATGGCCACGACGTTTGATGATGATGTGATCAATCCATGTATATGGCGTCGAAGTCCGCAAAGATGGCGATCGCTGCTATATAGCTTTTGAGGGGTCGCCGTATGCGTAAGAGCACACATTCTGTCAACAGCTACATTATACTTGTACAACTCTGATAACTACCATCACTACTACCATGGGCAAAGATCATCCTGACGCAGACCTTCATCCTGAAGCGACAGGACTTGCAGCAGCGACAGTCAAAGTAAGCAAACGCACACCTATAGTATCTTCTTCGTTGCTAATATTCGAAGGCTCACTCAGCCGAATGCCCCCTGAAACTGTACTCGGGATGGTTCTGTCCCTTTGTGCAGCGCGTATGGATAGCACTGGAGGAGAAGGGTATACAGTACCAGTATATTGAGGTCAACCCGTACCAC